CTTAATAAAAATCTTTCGATGCCATATTTAGTTTAATAAATGCAGGTGGAGTTTTATTGATATTATGAAGTGCGATTTGGGTCGGTAAAGCTTTCCGCTTTATCGCTTTACACTAGATTTTGTATTATAATTAGCTTCAAAATGTTGAAATAAATAAAAATAAATCTATGTTATGTTTACTTTTTAATTAAAATTCAAAACGTGGTTGTTGTGTACTAAAATGAATACTTAAAAATTAAATATTTTAATTTGGAGCTCTAAGCGAGAAAATTATATGTTGATTTTTAGTATTAATGATTAATCTTTTTAACATTCCTCTAACTATGGTATGCTCCTTATCTTCTAACTATAAAATTCTTTAAATTTAAACATTATTTAAATGTTCATCTTCTAAAAACTCAAAAACTAGACAAATAAATTAGGAAATTCTAGAATTTGTTTAATTTGAAAATTATTTTAACGATTTATTACTAAAAAAATTCTAAGTATGCCAATTTGCGAAAATCAATTTGAGTTTGTGACAAATGACAGTCGTTAAAAGGGACTGTTTTAATCGAATTTTTTAGAATGAGAAACAATTTTACACTTATTAAAATACATTGAAATAACATTAAACTAAAAACTAAAAAGGTTATTTTCTTCTTTTCAAAACGGCCTCTTATGTTACGTTACAAAAAATATGTTTTCCCAAAAGTCCTCAGGTTGCATAGGAGAATTACAAAATATTCCATAGTATATTCTTATAAAAATTTAAATACAATTATTTGCGCCTCGTGATCTTAAGTAGTAGTGTTGACTAGAACCGCGGGTGCTCTTTTTTAGCATTGCCCCAAACCGATCTTGGAACCTAACATTGAGAGCGCAACTTAATACCCTCTGCACACAGCCGCCTAAAATAGCTGTCGTCTTTAAAAGGAATTTTTCTTTAGATAAATAATGTACGTTTTGGTGCAACAGGTGCCAGGTCTTGCCAAGAAACTCATAAACTGGAGGTTTGTCACTTCCTTAAAAAAGAGCATATCAATATTTCTTTTCAAGATGAGATCAATTGCTGGGCTTCGAGCCCTTAGAAGGTTCCTTGGGCCAGCACCAACAAAAATTTTCTTATAACTGTGCCATTGCAGTTAAACGCATTTCCTTATCAAAAAAAAAATCTAGAATCGCCAAGTACAAAAGTCACCTGAGTTCGTAAAAATACTGAATACGAGTTGAAGCGACTTTTTTCCACATCTTTTCTACACGTGTATTTCTTATGGAGGAAAAAGTCGCTGAAGAGGAATTTGGTAGCTGAAGCGAAAACCCCCTCTGTGTGAATAGGCTATAACAGTAGAATTTGAGAGATATCTTTTTTGTATATAAGCAGCCGCTCTCCCGTCATTTTGAGTGAGCACGCGAGAAGAAACGGTCATTTAAAGAACGGTCGGCATTTTGTGAGATATCAACAAAAAAGTAATTGTTTGTTTTGGGTAAAAATCGAGTTCTAGATCGAATATCAATATATTTTATTATATCTATATGAGTTCGCGGTGCTGCGGCTCTGCTCACGTGTCTTTCGATCTGTGTGGGATACCGAAAACGTGCACGCCTGACTCGAGACTTGTTAAACAAAGAAACTAATTTAAGCGAAATAATTTGTACGATCAGCGAAGATTTCTGCACTAATTTTCACCTGGTTGTGCCGGAGTGTGTGTGTGCGTGCGTTCTGTTATAAATAGCGAGGAGAAGAGGAAAAAGCCGATCGCTTTTTGGGGCCATAAAAATGCCGAAAGAAAGTGCGAAGCGGGATAAATAAAAATATTTGTTTGTGGGCCAACAAAATAAATTAGAACAACTCGTAAATAAGTCGGGCGCCAGAAGGCCAGTGGGAAAAAATAAATATAAATGAAAATACAAATACAAATGGCAAACACAACCGAGCGGAAATGTGCAAATTGATGGAAAATTCAAAAAAAAGGAAAAAAATGTAGCCAAACAAAAAGAATTCCTGTTACAAGAAACCAGTTCCTAACTCCCCACCTACTTATCTCTCGTTTTTTTTCTGGCTGCATCCGTTTTGAGCGAAAGTTTTTTGCGCCCGCCTGCTGTCCACTCCACTGCGCGAAATGTGGGCAAACAAGTTGGCCAGCTGATTGCCCAGAAGAGGAAGACAGAGCGCGGCCAAGATGGGGAAATGGGGAAAAATCTAGCCAATTAATTGTGCCGTGAAAGTGTGCGCCAAGTCAATGTCTATAATAAATACAATTTTTTACAATTTGCAGTCGTGCCTTTTGCGCGTTTCGCTTCGATTTGATTGAAAGCAACTTGGCGAAAAAAATATAAAACTAACAAAAACGGAAAGTCTCGCCTTGCAATTGGACTTGAATGGCTGACGGCCTTTTTTCAGCGCCCGGATTCGAGGTAAGCCTGTTTAATTTTCACGCCGATTTCGCATTTAAGGCAGGCGACGAATTATTTCGGAATGGTATGCAAAAACACGTTCCCACTAACGTTTATTAAAATCATGTGTTGGAAATGGTCGTAAATATTGTAAACACTAGTTTTAAGTGTTTAAGTTTGTAAACACAATTAATTACATATCTTTGAAGACAGCATCTTAGAAAAATTAATCAAAATGTACATTTTTGAAGTATTTCTCTGAATGTTAATACATATTTTGTTATGAAGTCAATCATGTGGGGAAATTCTGAAATTCTTAATTTAAGTTACATTTTAAAAGCATTACTGGAGAATGTCTAATTCTTCTATCCATTTTTCACATCTCCAGATATATTTACAGTATAGTAAGAGAAAGGATAATGAAACCCAAACCAGAGGTTCACAAAACTGCATTTGCTATACACTGTTGCTATGAAATTTTCAATTTCCTAGCCTAGATCTTCAATGACTTCGTTTCCCAAAGATTTCTGATTATAAATTCCGTTCTCAAAATTAAGTGCCTGGGTGGATTGTGTATGGTATACTATTGCAAAATCCGCGTATTACGAGTGTGTGAGGTTTTTCTGCACTAGTTAGAACGGAATAGGGCAATCAAGAGTGTAAACAACAGTTAAATGTTGTTAAACTCGAATCCAGCCGACTGCTTTCGTCAGATGTTTTACGCTCGTAGACCCCGTAACTCCACTCTTTTTCGCCCTTCCGCCGACGAGTTCTTCGCCTTATCTCAACCCTTGTTTTTTTTTGTATTTATTTTTTGCTGTGCGGCCGGTTCTGCGGCTTTTGTATAACTTCCGCTATTGTTATTATTTTTTAGTTGTTCGTAGGAAGAAGTGTAATTAAACAGAGGTGGCGAGGGGGGGGGGCACAGCACAAATAACCCTGCAGCAAATGCAGCAGCCGTCTCACGGGAGTCGCCACCTCGAAAACCGGTTTTACATCATTAAACCTAAAATTCTAAAGCATATTGTATGTGTGCCTCGGCATCTGTTTGGCCATCTCACTCGCACCTGGCTCCTTCTCGCTCCCACCTTCATGGCTGGCTGCACTGTGGCACATGCAAGTGCAACTTGTTGCAGCAACTGTTGCTGCTGCTGCTGCCGCCGTGTGTTGCATGTTGCTGCCGTCATGTTGCTGCTGCAAATGCACTTTCATTAAGCGGACGGAATAGGCCATCGGCAGTTTTATGAATAGAAGGAAAGTGTGTGGAACAGGTCCATCAATAATGCAAGATTAATAAATAATCTAGTTGTGAGGCATACGAGAACCGCACTAATTGAAAAGTTTCACTACAAATGGTCGCTCGTAGCCCGATGTTTGGAGAAAAATAAGTATTTAAGACATCAGTAAAAAGATTTTTGGTTTCCAGATTAAATACACTTATAAACAAAAATTATTTATAGATTACTTGAGAAGAACAATTTTTTAAATAAATAAATAAACACAATGTGACATTTCGGGTTAACTTTCTTGTATTTTATAAATTAGAATTATTTTTTTATATTTAAATAATTTTGTAAATAAAACAAACTTTTTGGATTATGGTTTAAAAAATTTAAGTTTATATTTGGATATATTTCTCAAAATGAAATATTATTAAAACACTTATTTTAAATAAATAATTTATAAACGATTGCTAAACGAATTGGTCAAAAAAGAACTATATATTTTTTGTAAAATAAATAAGTTATAATAAGTTATATATTTATTATAAATTATATTTTAGTTCCATTACAACGATAAAATACTTCATTTAAATTACAGAGTACTTCAAAGCCCGGCCTATCAATAAAAATATTAATTATAAACTAAGCATTATCTTAACTCGTATACCCCTTTTGTAGAGCATCTCGACTTCTATATCGGCATTTGGCTAAACTTTCCCGTTTTTCCTGTTTCGGTTGCAAAAAAAAAACAAATTCAATTTGTCTAATATTCAAAATCGAAAGAGGGAAAAACTCGTTTATCGGCATCCTTGTGACACACTGACATCTTTTGCTAATCTCGGGCCCCTTTCTCTGCCCCCTCGCACTTTGCCTAATTAATTCAGCTTTGGGTTTTGTGTGCCGCCACCTATCAAAGCCCCCCGCTTCCCAAATCCCCTCGCCCTCCATGGCTTGCCCCGTCATTTGCATTGATTTGCAAATTTTTATATTGCCCGTTTCGATTCGAGCCTGACGTAATTTGTTAAACTTTGTTATTTACCTGGCTGACATCGATAGCTAACTAATCAGCGCTGGCTTTTGTTGACTTTAATTTATTGCCCGAGGGTTACGGCGAGCGATTAAATCGTCAAGGACTCTGTCCCACACTCCCGGTCTCAATCTTTGGGTATTACTTTCCGGTTTGTGGCTCCATTTTCGGCTATGGAGATCCTATACATTTTCGGTAAGAGAGCTTTGGAAAAATTAGTGATACATTTGTTAAAAAAGAAGGCGTTGCTTTACTATTACGAAGTTATAACTACATTAAAACCATGTAGTTAGCAGCACCCAAATATTGTAAATCAGATACCCATTCATTTCCAACAGAATCCTGTTTTAATTTTTTTTGTTTATTTTTGGAATGCGTTTAAATGTTGTTAATTATTAAAATACAATTTTAAATTATAAAATTTTGTATTTTTAAAGGCAATGCCGGAACCTAACTTTGATTGTGGGGTGGATATAAAAGAAAATATGTTGTGTAGGAATCAAAAATTTGGAATAAAATACAAATTAAATATACTTTTTACCCGTAGGAGGAGGGGGGACTTATCCCCCTATCTCCCCGTGGATACGCACATGTTTGAAGGTAAATGTTTCCAACGGAGTGTTCACTTTATGAAACGAAAGTGTATTTCAGTGGTAATTCAATATGGTCACTCAACACTCCATGGATTTTGTATAATATTTTTAGTTCCTTCTAAGACCTTTTGAGCAGATCCTCCTCAAAAACAAAAGTAACGTTGGTATCGAACTGTAGCTTCTTATCGAAGTACCACTGCATTGCCAACATGTACTCCCCAGTTGGAAGGGGCACAATTAATAGTTCCGGTCTCAGATAAAAATCTTTCACAACTTGTGGACCCTATAAAGCAGCCGAATTTCGTTAAAATATTTATACTATACTATCATACAACTTACCACATACGGACAGGTGTGATTAAAGTTCGAAAATTCTTTGAAAATATTAAAGACGATGCCTATGAATGGATCGTAGTGCTTTCGCACAAACCTGCAGACATCTATAGTGGAGTCCAATAACCACGGCTTAAAACCGCTGGCCCTTTTAAACATCTTGGCATGGAGATGTATATTATGGACCGGGTGAAGAACAGTTCCGTTCATATTGAGCAAAACCCTATCACGACTAACAGCCTTTAGACGGCAGTGTTGGAAAACGAACCACGATTGGTTATAAGTTTTGCATTCGAAATTCTTAAACCTGAAGACAACTGCTTCCTTTAAAAGATAATACATATTTAGAAAAATATCAATCGCCCTTTTTAAAGTCCACTCACATTTGATATTATATTAAAAAATATAACTGCTCCGAGGACAGGTACTAAATTGGTCCACATTGTTCTGCTGTGTAATACCTTAAAACGAGTTTATATAAAAACTTTAGGCACTGGCGCATGTTAAAAAACCGATTGGGTCCGCCTGAAAGATCCACTAAATTACTCTATAATTACGTATTTGTCATAATGATGTGCAATTAAGTATCGATTAAATTATTAATATTATTATTATTCTGATAATATATGCCTTAATTGATAGGTCATGCCATTACTAAACACAGTATTTTTCTCCCATTTAATACCCGCGATTAGAAATTTTCCTGTGTGTATTCCAAAATTGGTTTGAAATTCGATGCCTTAAATTGAAATTTGACATTGAGGAAGTCCCTCTTCCCTTTTTGTTTGCTCACATCTGTTTAATTAGTGTACAAGGCAGCAGCTGTTGAGCTGAGACAGAATTCCAAAATCCCAAAACCAAGAACACGCCAGACTTTTCAACAGGCCCTTGAGTTGGTCTGGGTGTACTTAATAAACCGATATTTAATTTTTTCCCCCTTGCAACTTGTTAATTGCGCACTTTGCATTCTATTGCAAGTTCATCATGCTTAACGGTATCGTTTCCAAGTACAGGGATAAAGTCGAAACTGACTCAAAAGTCAGTTAACTAATTCAATTAGTGCCACGTGAATTGCCCGTCCGAAAAGTCAGGGAAACCTCTAAGAGAGGTAAAACGAGTGAAGAAAACTGGACGGAGACGAGTCAAAACTTTTGTTATCCCATTGTGTCTGCTGTCGAGATGATTACTTGAGGGAAGTGGACCCGTAAAAAAATAGGAGAAAAGGGAACTCGGTGGTGGACAATTCTCGGAACCCTCCACCGAACAATTTGATTAGATAAGGCTCTGAACGTAGCCTTTTGTTGAGAACGTCATGAGTACCTACATTTCATAATGCCACGAGGAACGCCGTTTAAAATTTTTCAAACGAATAAAATATGTGAAAATAACTAATGAGGGGTTATAACGTTTAAAACTAAGTATTTTGCCAATCGATTTTAATTTCCATTTAACATAAATGTAAAGCTATTTATAATAATCTGTTATTTATATTATACATCGCGTTTAAAAATATTAAATATTATACATGTTTTTTTTTTGGCTTAGGTCACTATGTATTTTAAAATTAAATACAAAATTGTTTACTATATTTTACTTTGTATAAGCATAAAAATACTGTGTCAAATAAAACTTTAGAATGTATATCTTTTAAAACAATTCTATTTTATAATTTTTTAATCTCGTGTGGGACATAAATCTTCTTATAACTAATACATTTCCTTACATTTATAAATATGTACATTGTACATTGCACACACAAAACAAAATTTCATCTAAAAACAATGGTATGTGTATATTCTTTAATTGAAATTTACAAACTAATTAAGTTAAATATTTGCATAAAATGGTTAGGTCTTAAATTTTAATTGGGGCTACTGTCTTCCAATATAATTTCAACATTTAAGAACATCTTTTCCTAACAATTTCTTCTGCCTCAAAAAAGTGTATGTACATAAGTCACAAAAGTATAAAGTAGTACAGCTCAATAGAATTTTACAAAACAAATAAAAAGTTTCAGGTTTGCAGTTCCGCAGAAAGTGTACAAACGCAGTCTTATGTTTGACTAGTAAAACTTTGTTTAAGTTTGGCTTAAAATTGATTTGAAGTGTATCTGGGCCCTCAAATTATTGTTATCGAATTCGCGAATCTCCGTTGACCTTCTTTCCACTTGCCAGCCCATCTGTGGCCTTTAATTCAACCAGCTAGAATTTCGATGCGAATTAGCCAGAATGGGCCAAAATAGACTTGTTTTGACCTGGTTTTTCCGCCTGGTCCGGCTTATTATCATAATACAATATGAGAGACGAAACTTTTGTAGCAGTTTGGTTTGGCATTGTTTGCCTGCCTCTTCTGAATTCTTTTATTATCCCAGAGTTTGGGAAGCCCGAAAATTGCACAACGAACAAGAACAACAACATTGACACAACTTTTCCAGTGGGTGTGTGGTGTCAACGTTGTTTTGGTTTTGTTAGTGCAAAAAGTCCCACGCCCACGCCCACGCCCCCTGCCACGCCCACCGCCCCCGCCGCCCTTAAAAATAGCAAACAATTGTGCTTTTGTTTACTAATTTGCGGTTGTCTCAGTGCCTTTTTTGTTGTTGTGCTGCGACTACCAGAAGTTTTTGGCTTTGACTTTATCGCCGGTTTTGTTTACTTTCTTTGGCTTGGTTTAGTTTCTGGCTATTTACTGCCTGTCTGCCGAGTTGAAAGTTCATTTGCCGTTTTAATTGCCAGCTAATAGCTCGAAAGTTACTCGTATTTTCATTTTATTACCCCTTTTTGTTTTGCTTAGGGTTTTTCGCCTCTTATTTGGTTTATTTCTGTGGGTGAATGGCAAAAGTTATGCGGGCCAGCTGAGGGCGATAAAAATGCGGAAGGAGAGAGTGGGATCAAAGTTAAGTTTTTGACTCTTGGTGTTAGTTAGTTAGTTAGATTTGAATTATTTTGACACCGGTTGGTCTTCTGGCCAATTCATAATTTAGTAAAGTGTTATTAGAAAATTTGAGTTAGTTAGGAGAAGAGGTTTCCTTTCAAATGTTATCTAAAAGAGATAAATCAAGAACAAAGAAAGTGATTTGGAATTTATTCTGAACGTATAATTATTAAGGAAATAATAAGAGTAATTATATTTACTTATTGATAGGGATAAAATAAGATATCGATTTGTACCTAAAATAGGTATTTATCGATCAAATCAAGGAGCGTAAAACTGATCGTTTTAGATTTTATTCTGAACTTATAAATATTGAAGAAATAATAGAAGTAACTATATTACTTAATGACCTAATGTGTTATTAGAAACTTATAGATAGTTGGGGATAGATGTACGATATCAATTTGTACCTAGAATATATATATTGTAGGTCATGTTAAGAAACTTAAGTTTATATAAATTAAACGTTTTAATATTTATTCTGAACTTTTAATTAGTTAGAAAATATTAAAGGTTATCAAAAATTAGATAAATTGGGGGATATAGGTTAAATTTGCATTTGTACCTAAAATATATAATATTAGATAAAATCAAGAAGCATTGGGTAAATTAAATTTTTTTAAATTTATTTTGAACTTATAGTTGTTGAGAAAATATTAACAGTAACTGTATTTACTTATTGAGCTAATAAGTTAAGTTAGATAATTATAATAGGGTACAGGGATTAGATTTATATTTGTACCTAAAAGTGATATATGAATCATATGATTAAACGTAAAGATAACAGATTAAACACTTTGGAATTTGTAAATTCCTATTGTCTTTTCACAAACTCACATTTTATATAATGCAATACTTTCACCTGAAACATTTCCATTCCATTTCGATGCAAGAATCCGACCTCTGACCTTTACCTGTTGCTTCTGCCCCCCTGGTGATTTAATTTCACCTTTTATCTGCCTGAGCTCTCTCCTCGTTGGCCATTTTATCAGTCAAGTCCGGCAATTAGCCTGTTGGCAGTTGGCCTCCTAGTACTCCAGAGCAATTTCCTTGTTTTGAGGAAACTTTTTCATTTCTTTCATAATTTTTCTTTCGACCAACTTTTGCCGAGCTCCAAATTGCCCCCCTCTTCTCCACCGTAATATCCATTAATCAAACTTCTGGTCTTTGTTCCATCTCGTCTATTTTCTATGCCTCTCTATCATTTTTGTTGCCTTTTTTCTTGTTTTCCTGGGGGGTTATTTTTTATTGTTGTTTAAAGAGGAATTCTGCCCTTGAGGTCTTAGCCAGTTGATGACCCCGCACGCGATTTTACCACTCCATCGCTACCCGCAATACTTTTCTGGCTCGTGAATATTTCACGCTTTTTCTAATTGCCAACCGACTGCTGTTATATTTCTATTTGGTTCTTTTTCCAGCTGATTTGCGATAGAGAAACAGAGACTGTCAACAAAGTCGCAAGATAAAAAAAAATTGAATAGAATTTTTTGCCATTGTTGTTGCGATTATTTAACTGTTTTTTTCATTGCTGTTGTGGCATGCTAAAACAAAGGCTTGTCATTCAACTTTGGTCATATGTTCCAGATATGATTAGAGTCACCTAAAAAAGAGAGCACACAAAAAGCAAATTGAAAATTCTTTTAGCTGGAACTGAAACACAATCATATTCATATACGTATTCATTTGGTCATGGGGTTTTTCTTGTCGCTTTTAGTTAACTGATATTGATATCTGTGTGTCAAGCTATCAATACATTTTTTTATTGGTCAATTAATAAAGTTAGAAAACCGCATTCCTTATAAGGAAGTAGAAATATATAAAGTGTGATGGTATTATTATCAAGGTAAAGTTTTAAAAATATGTTTTTATGACCAAAACTTATCAATGCTTTTAGGAAATTTAGGAAATACCTTTGCTTTGTATAAAGTATTTTTAAATTAATAAATAGTCTTTATCTGGATGATGACCTAATAAAAAAGTTTGTTAGTGCCTGTGATAAAGATATATCTCCTATGTCGTAGTTCATTTAAATCCCTATATTTCACCAATTCGACAACACCTCAGAGTACCTATCTAAATATAGACAGGCAATTCGAAGTCAACCGAAATAAAAATAATTTAAAAAATTTATTATCCATGGGCGACAGATAGATAGACAGAAAATGCAATATCTAGAAGCGCACACGACCCGATTTGGGTGTACATTAGTCTAAATATAGGCGACTGTCATAACAGTATCCCCCGAAAGTCACACCCCTCACCTTTCAGCCTTATAAAGCGGTTCTGTTCCAGTGACAAGCCAACAAAAACAATAACAATTCAAATTCAACTTGTTTTTGATTAGATCATTCGAGGCGAAATGTCAGTCAATAAAGGGTGGAACGGGGAGGGGAAAAGTGTGGGGATGGTTATACTTGGACTCGCCTCTTTTCGCCCCCCTTCGGTTTAACCTGCCGCTGGCGTGCGATAATTAACTGAAATAGACCCGTGACTGTCAGTCAGCCACAAGACATTCTACATAGGTATATGTACATAAATCTATACTATATGTGTGTACAGTGGGTTTT